AGAAAGGTCTTCCTTTGCCATTGGTTCACCCTCCAATGGCCGCTGCGGCCGGCGCACCGCGCTGATCCGATGGCAGGAGCCAGGAGCCAGGAGCCAGGTGCTTTTCCTGGTTTCCCATGGGGTGCAGGGCCCAAGCACCTGGGCCATCCTCCACTGCACTCCCTGGCCACAGCAGAGAGCTGGCCTGGAAGAGGGGCAACCGGGACAGAATCCGGCGCCCCGACCGGGACTAGAACCCGGTGCGCCGGCTCCACTAGGCGGAGGATTAGCCTAGTGAGCCGCGGCACCGGCCTGAATACATTTTTTAAAAAGATTTATTTGAAAGAGTACGAAGAGATCTTCCACTTGCTGGTTCACTCTCCAAATGGCTGCAATGGCTGGAGCTGGGCCAGTCCGAAGCCTGGAGCCCAGAGTTTCTTGTGGGTCTCCCACTTGTGTGCAGGGACCCAAGTAACTGAGCCATCTTCTGCTGCTTCCCCAGGCACATTAGTAGGGAACTGGATCAGAAGTGGAGCAGGCTGGATTCGAATCGGCACCCATATGGGATGCTGGCACCACAAGTGGCAGCTTTACCCACTACACCACAGCATCAGCCCCAATAAATCAATCTTAAAAAAAAACTTTGATACAACCCATGCCCTCCAAATTCATGTATTTACCCCTAAAATAAGAGCTTAGAAGGCACCATTGTCCAGTACATTAAACTATATCCAGAGATTTAAGGTCTAATTTTAGACCTTGGATTCTCTGGTACTCAAGTTTTTAAAAAATAGAGACATACCTCAGGTTATTTTAAAAATTTATATAAAATTACTAAATGGCAGGGATTCAATTTTATAACTACCAACATTTTTAAAAATCTGAGAGGAAAAAAAGTATGTGTAAAAAGAATATAAAATAAAGCTATGAGAAGGATTGGCAGAATGATGCCTTCCCTTGCTACCTAAAAAAAAAAAAAAAAAGGAAGAGACAATGAGAGAACTTCCACCTGCTGATTGACTCCCCCACTGCCTGCAACAGCAAGGGCTGGGAGCAAGAACTCAATCCAGGGCTCCCACGTGGGTGGAAGGGATCCACCTACCTGAGCATCACTTGCTTCCGCCAAGGTGCACAGTAGCAGGAAGCTGGAGTCAGGAGTGCAGTCAGGACTCGAACCCAGGCACTCTGCTATGGGATGTAAGTGTCCCGAGCAGCACCTTAACTGCTACACCAACAACAGTGTTCAGAAGTAAGATCAGCTTCTTTTAAAAGATGTTAGTATTTCTTAGCTTAGATAAACCATCTGCAGTTTATTTCTGACAGTTAAGAAACCCAAATGTGGGGGCCGGCGCTGTGGCGCAGTGGGTTAACGCCCTGGCCTGAAGCGCCGGCATCCCATATGGGCACTGGTTCCAGACCTGGCTGCTCCACTTCCGATCCAGCTCTCTGCTAAGGCCTGGGAAAGCAGAAGATGGCCCAAGTTCTTGGGGCTCCTGCACCCACGTGGGAGACCCAGAAGAAGCGCCTGGCTTCGGATTTGCACAGCTACAGCCATTGTAGCCATCTGGGGAGTGAACCATCAGATGGAAGACCTCTCTCTCTCTCTCTCTCTCTCTGCCTCTCCCCTCTCTGTGTAACTCTTTCAAATAAATAAATCTTTAAAAAAAATCCAATGTGCTAATATGACTAACATTTGTAAATATTAATGAAATAAAAAGTAAACAGACTATTGAATATATTTTACATCTTTCAATGGAAATGCTTTTAAAATACACTAGTTAAAAAGTTGTAAAATTCTATACTTCATCTACCTAACAATAATTTGTAAGATGCATTTCACAATTAGTGAAAGGCCATCTGCCTCTCTGATTACCAAGACTGTCATCTACCAATATTCAACCCTTATGATCTACAATTGAGAATTAGATCGTAACTTGTATTAGGAACTGTCTGAGGTAAATAAGCAAGTCAGAAGAAAACATCTGAGACCATTTAGGCATAAGCAGATGAACCACAGCATATCTTGATCAAAAGCCATGTTGATGAGCATAATCGAGTAACCTCAACTTAAAAAGATTTGCAGAAGCTGTTGTAACCAGTTATAATTGGGCATGTTGTGTTCTGAGATAATCTTCAGAGTGGTGTATTGGTGGCTGTAACCACTTAAAATGACCTAAAAGGCTAATTGCTGAAGTCTGTTTGAAAACACCCTTCAGATTTCTTCCAGTCACTGCCTCTTAATTTTATCAACATCAGATATCAGTATCTTACAATTAATGAACCACACCAGGCTTCCCCTACTTCATCCAAACCCCCTTTAACTTGCCCACTCTACCCAAAGCCTCTACATCAGGATCATCTAAGTAGGAAGGAGTTGAATAAAACTGTTTTAAGCTCCACTCTAATGTAAGTTTTTCCACTATAAACAAGTACTAGTAACCCAAAAGCACAGATACTAATCCTTTCAGTAACACTTCTGGGAAGACAGTACATCTGGCATGAAAGCATCCGTAGGTGATTCCAGAAAAATACTATCAGACAATCCGATCCAGAACTATGAAATCAGTTATTCAAAGTCAAGGAAGACTTGGAGCATGTAAGATTTGGAACGAGATTCTAGATGGAGTTTCTGCCTGGCCCAGCCCTGGCCATTATTGTGGCTATCTGGGGAGTGAACTTGCAGATGGGTGATCTCTCCCTCTGTCTGCAACTCTTTCAAATAAATAAAATAAATCTTAAACAAAAGAACCCACAAAACCCATCCCCCAAAAGTTATTGAATAAAGGAAGAGAAAGTCTTAAGTGTCCCAAGAGGTAATTTAGGAAACAAGCACAAGAGAAAGTATACTTACATGTAGCAAACAAGAGAGCAAGTTAGATTTAGAGATATAGTCTTCAAATTCTTAACAATGTTTATTCCCAAAGCTGCAGCCACTGCCTTTTCTCAGACTAACCACAGTATACGTATTTGTTTTTGCAGTCTCTGCACTTTGCACTGTATCTCACACAAGGCTACATGAATTCTCTTTTCTGAGCAAGGTTTAGTAACTGTTCCATTCTGTAGCTGTGCCTCTCGAAAGCCATAAATCAAACTAAACCACCTCAGCACAGGACTCAAAGCTCCATAAATAACTGACCAAACCTACCCTAGCCTGGTCAGAATACAGCAACCCAGGTTCTCTGTTCTACTGACTTTTCTTAACTCCATCAACTCCAGACTGACCACTATATGTCATCTCCTCTTCAGTAATAATCTTCATTAGAGACATTTTTTCCCTCTTAAACAAAACCAAAAGCATAGGCAGCAACAAAAAAATGTGACACATCAAAATTAAATCCTTTTGCCAACCAAAGGACACTTAACTACTGACAGGCAACCCAAAACCTGGGAGAAAATACTTGGAGCTAACACATTTGAGATTAACATCCAGTTTCCTAAGGGCAGGCATAGTGGAGCAATGGATAAAACCGCTCCTTGCAAAGCCCACATCCTGTATCTCCCAGCTTGGTTCAAGTCCTAGCAACTCAGCATTTTCTGTCTAGCCTCCTGCTAATGTAACTGGAGGGAGCAGATGATGGTGGTAGATAGTTGGGTTCCTGCCACCCATGTGAGAAAACCAGATGGAGTTCCTGGCTTCTGACTTCTACCTGGTCTAACCCTGGCTACTGCAAGTAAGTGGGGAATGAACCAGTGGAAGGAAGATACCTGTCTCTTCCTATCACTCTGCCTTTCAAAAAAAATATTGACTCCTCAAAATTAAGGACCCTGTAACAAAATTTAATTCAAATGAAAAATGAACAAAATTTGAATAGACATTTCTCCAAAGATACACAAATGACCAATAGTACTGATGTCTAACATCTTTTGTGATGTGGGAAATTTACAGAAATGCAAATCGAAACCAGAATGAGATACCATTTCACCACCAGGATACCTATTATCAAAAGCAAGGAAGCAGGCTGGCGCCGCGGCTCACTAGCCTAATCCTCCGCCTGTGGCGCCAGCTGCTCCTCTTCCAGTCCAGCTCTCGCCTGTGGCCTGGGAAGGCAGTGGAGGATGGCCCAGGTGCTTGGGCTCTGCACCTGCATGGGAGACCAGGAGGAAGCACCTGGCTCCTGGCTTCGGATCAGCACAGCGCGCCAGCCGTAGCAGCCATTTGGGGAGTGAACCAACAGAAGGAAGATCTTTCTGTCTCTAACTCTGTCAAAAAAAAAAAAAAAAAAAAAAAAAAAGGAAGCAAACAACAACCACACACACACAGAGAGAAAATATTGTTGGTGAGGCTAAGGAAAAATGAGTACCTTTGTGCATTGCTGTTAATATAAAATGCTGTAACTGCTGTGGAGAATAGTATAAAACATCCTCAAAAAATTTAACACTGAATTACCTTATTATCCAGCAATTCCATTTCTGGGTTTCTGCCCCAAAGCACTGAAGGCAGAAATCTAACAGAATTTGTACACCAGTATTCACGGCAGCATTATTCACAGTACTGAAAAAGTGGAAACCACCCAAATGAGCAGGGACCTACAAATCGACAGACATGTGGAATATACCTACAATGGGTTATGCACTTCTAAGAGGAAAACCCTGACACAGGTTAAATGAATTAACCTTGAAAACATTAAGTCACAAACAAAAGGACAGACATTATGAATTCGCTTTGATGAGGTACCCAGAAACAACAAATTCAGAAGCAAAAGGAGAACGGTGGTTTACCAGGGAAGAAGAAGGATGAAAAGTTTAGAGTGCTGATGGTTGCACAACACTGCGAACGTACTTAAGGCAACTGAACTCTGCACTTGAAAATGATTAAGATGGCAAATCTTATGTTACATTGATTGAAAAGAAACATGATTCAACTGAAAACTCTAACTCCATTCAACTTCTCAGTATTTACCACAGGTATCACCAGACATTATACTTGATTAGGTTAAGTTTGGTGTAGGACTGACAAACCAAAGGAAAACTTCATAATATTTTATCTTTATTAACCTCTATTTTGTTGTTTGTTGTTATTCAGGGGAGAGTGCAAACGCAGTCCCTACTACCACAAATGATGCCAGTCGAGTTTCCTGCATTTAGGGAAATCGCGGGGGCCAGCCCATCCGGGGTGCAATGGATGAGGGTCACCCTGGGAAAACCACCTTCATGATCATGGTATCTCCCCTGCCAGGTAAGCATATTAACCTCTATTTAAAATTTCACCTATAAAAGGAAAATTAAGTAGGTTACCCAAGAACAAGACATCTGAGAAACCTGAGTATTCATTCTGTTCGTCACTGTTTCCTGCTAATGGTCTTCCTTTTGTTGTAGTAGTTTAATTCGTCATGCAACTTTAAGCCAAAAGAGCTAAAATTTTCATTTCATAGATTTTTCAGAATACATTAAAAAAATGAAGGGAGGAGAAACTGCCTGATTGAGTCTAAGAAATATTTGCATTCCTAGTTCTAAAATAAGATCAGAACAACTTATTTTAAAATGTCGGGAAAAAATTGTTAAAAAATAAAAGGGATAGATATCGTGGCATACATTATATAATACAGTGCAAGACCTTCATATACTTCATTCATCCAAAGAAATAACTTCGCTTAATATCAAATAATCTCAAGAGACCCTGATCCCATTTAGGAAAATAGACATTTGGCTGTAAGATTTACTTATAAAATCAGTACCACTGTTTTTAGGAACTAAGTGACATGCATAAATATCAAAATGAATCCAAAATTCTAAAATGATCATTAAAATAAAAGTTAAGAACAATCAGAGTAATAAAAATAACAATTGCATGGATGGAAGCAACTGGTGCTAGCTACAACAGCATGGAGGAATCTGGGCATACAAATAACACAAATCAGCAATATTGCACTGCCGTTTTAAATTATTGTAATAGAAAAATGTAATGATCTAACAGCTAAGATAAAGTTTGAACTTCCATTATGACAGACCAAAACAAAGGGTCAACAAGTCATTCTAAATCTTACCTGTAACGCCTCAATATGTTAAACTGAATTTGCTAAATAAATAGCCTGGTACCTCTAAGTGGCTACTATAGAGCCAAACACTAACCTGTTAATAGTCTTAGTTCCCATCTTTAACATTAAAATTCTGTAGGAAATAATGATGGATACTTCCCTTTCTAAAGCAGTGTATGCAAACCCAAATCAGAAAACTCTTACATGAAGAATTTAAAGGAGGTCAAAGTATTAAGGAAATAAAATAGGGACTCATGGTCTTGCTACAGGGAAAATGGCAGCTCTTAAAATCTTGACATAAACATATTAAGAAGTTGATGTACTAACGAAAAAGTGGGAGTTAAAATTACTTAATTGAAGAAAAGGATGATAATGTGATAACCTTCGACATATGGATCAGTTTTGAGCCTATTTTTCCAACCTAACAGTGTTAGAAGGAAATTGGATTGCCAGATTTTATGATACCACAAACATCTGTAGAATCCACTGAGTTTTTGAAATTCATCCTATGTGATAGACATTAAAATATGATAGGTATATTATTTGTAGTTAAAGCACAAAAGATGTAAATACAGTTCTCATTTAAAATAAACTTAAAACTATCATTGCAGCTCCACATTTAACTTTTTCCTCAATGATGTCTAAGCTTTTTTAGTAAATTAATGCTAACATTAATTCCTTATAATTTTATTTCAAGCCTTTTAAAGACTTTTTTTTATTGTGCAAAGAATGGGATGCTTTTGGAATTTAAAAGTTTATTAAAAATCAGCAAGCAACAAGGTGATAAAAATTGGGACATAATGTAGGTAGGAATGGTTTTTAATAATTTAATAATGGTTTTTATACCCTGAACACCCTTCTAATGGTAAACAAGAATGAGCTGCAGCCAACGCCACGGATCACTCCTCTGCCTGCGGCGCCGGTACTGTGGCTTCTAGTCCTGGTTGGGGTACCGGTTCTGTCCCGGTTGCTCTTCTTCCAGTCCAGCTCTCTGCTGTGGCCTGGGAAGGCAGTGGAGGATGGCCCAAGTGCTTGGGCCCTACACCCGCATGGGAGACCAGGAGGAAACACCTGGCTCCTGGCTTCGGATTGGCACAGCGCGCCAGCCGTAGCAGCCATTTGGGGGACATGAACCAACGGAAGGAAGACCTTTCTAACTCTGCTTGTCAAAAAAAAAAAAAAAAGTTGCAAAAAAAGTCTGGTAATTTTATAAGTGATAATTCTAGTTCTTAGAGACAAACTAAATATAAAGCACAACAGTATATAAAAATCCTCTTTTGACACCAGATGTTTCTGGCCTTGAGAACAGAAATCAGGTGACAGTTGAGTATTACTATAAACTGCGAAGACACAGGGCTTTTTCTGTTTTAGAATTGATGTATCACTTGTTTAAGAATAGATGATAATTAGTAAGCAAGCTTTTTAAAAGGCAGTTAATCTACAGACTTATAGTAACTGCTGTAATGTAGGCTGAAAATAATATACATTAAATAAATGCACTTCGCATCCAGTTCCTTAAGAATATTAGAATTTTAGAGTGAAATGAATTTGATAGTGAAACTGCATCTGCATCAAGACAAACTAAAAGCTGTGCCTTAAAAGCCATAATTAGAAACCCTAAATCACCATCAGCTGACAATCAATTCTTCCACAGAATTAATCACTGTTACTTCCAAACCAAAAGGTTTTCATTTAGGGGTACGTGTCAGTCTACTACTACTATAAATTTTCCTATCCACTTCTTAGATTTCAAAAGTGATGATGCATGGCTCTGACAGTGACTATAATTTTCAGGAAACATAGAAAAATCCATGTAAAATAACAACAGTGGACCTTTAAGGCATGAGTTTTTGTCACTTTATTGTTAACCAATGAATATTATCCAAAATTAGAGATGTAATTTAATTGTACAACACAAAATTATGCTAATGGTAAAAGCCTATTGGAATTTGCCAAATACTCATTAGTGTATTTTTACATTGTAATATAAACATGTGCTCAACTGCTAATGATAAAAATTATAGTTGATTTTTAGTCACTACGAAAACCATATTGCAAATGGTTGTTTGGAAAAATTCACACAGCTTTAAAAATGGATTTAATCCATTTTAATCCTAATCTACAAATAGATTATAAACAGCAAATATAACTGGTAGTTTTTCAACACTGTATCAAAGTGGTGTAGCAGTGGTAGTGCACATAATTCAAAACGAAGAAAATGAAAGTCCAGGTTTTCACCTATTATGGCAATTTTTAATGCTTTGGAAAAGTGAAACTTAAGTTTCAAAGCCTGGAGAGTGGGCTCCACCATCAGGCCCCCTGATTCTTGCCCACAGTTTTGAAGCATGTGTATAACCATTGAGCAACAGCCACTTCAAGTTAACCAGTTATCTTTTGTCCTACAAAGTCAAAAAAATATATTAAATGCAGCTTTTTCCTTTTCATGTCTGCCCAGATTAATCCTTTTAAAGTCAGCAAAATAAAGCACGAGATATTTTCAGACACAAAGTCAACTGACTGTGCATGAAAAAATGTTTAATAAAATGGCAATTTTAACAGATAAATGTAAATTTGAGTGCATAATACCAAATGGAAAGTAGCTGAACCACACAGAGAAAACAAGGCTCTCCATATCTTCAAATCTAGGTGTTTTCCAAAAAAGTATCACAACGTTTTTTTCTCTAACTGGGAGGATTTCTTCAGTAAGTCTTAACAAATTAATATAATCTAAAATTATATCTAAAATAGGATTAACCAAAATTTAGAATAAAAAAATAAGCACAGTGATTTAGAAACCAAGTATGATTATGTTAACTATGATACCAAGAGATGAAGGTACAGACATTCTTCATATGCTACAAGGGTAATTTCTCTTTCTCTCTCAGACACACAAATACACACACACCCCACACTCCTCCAGGAAGATAGTATACCAGTGAAAGCTTTGAATTTTAATACAAATCAGAATCCCACAGTTCAATTCAACAATAAGGCAGTTAATTTAGCACTCAGGTATTCAGAAAGAAAATGAAATCTCAAAAAAGTATTCCTTCATGATTAAGACTGTCACATAATATTATACAACGTACAGCTTACACACTCCATCGGGTTGGAACAACCAGTCACCGCAGGTGTAACAGTGAGGTAGTATTCTTGTCCCCTTCTTGGGACTGATGTTTTCAGATGCTGCCCTTCCAGAAAGGTCCAGGATTTTTGTTTTAGTGAATAAAATAAACTACCAACAAATGTGTATTTTCTTTTATTAAACATTTGATTTTCTTAAAAAAATCTATGAAAAACTTTTCAAATCTTTCAGACAACTTATTTGCGAGTAATATTTCATCAAGAAGCTGTCCTAAAAAATTTGTTGTCTATATCTCTGAAGCGGCAGGCAACAAAAAACATAAATGGACTTCAGGAGATGAAACGCCAACCAGTTTAGCTGTTAAAGATGACTGTGATTAAGCAAACACCCAATATTGCAAATTAAATGGGGAATAGCTGCACTGTAGCACGAAACATTCTAATTCCTTTTATTATTCATAGACACCTCCTACACAATGATCAAAGACTATCCACTCTGCTACTGCCATCATTTCCAATGATCTGTATCATGGCAGGATATGAGAAGGGCACACTGAAAAAATGCAAGTGCGAGAGAATGTGGAAATGCATGCAGATTAAATATAGAAGGGGCAAGGGAAAACAGAGCGCTCTAAACACCCATTAAAATCTCACCAATTATGCTTTAAAATGTAGAAAGTGCTCAAACCACACATACACATTCATCAGACATGATAATTAGTGTTAATTTTCAACAGAAAAATGGAAAATGGACAATGTGAAAGGAGGTGATAGATCACTGTTCTCCATTCCCTGGCCCAAAAGAAAACCAAACACAACAGCACACTGCCTTAATGTTGAAGAGTTCCCCTTAAATTTTTCATTTAGCCACCACAGTCAAACTGGTGTTAAGTGCTTTGGCAAGGTGGGATGCACTCCATCACATCTGCAAAGGCCTGCTTTTCTCTGATGGTGGTTCAGCTTATGAAGAACATGTATGCAAAGGAACAGTTCTCACATTGCTTCAAACTCATCAATACGCTGCTTTGTATTGCCTTGTCGAATCTGTCGCAGAGTCTTGTACTTATCACGGCCTGCTTTAACATTCTCAGCATGAAGAACGTCATTTTGTGTTTTCTTGGTCTC